GTCATCATTTTCCACATAAAAAGTAGGAGAATCTACAAATTATTAAAATTAACTAGGCTTAGAAAGGTTACCTTGTAGAAAATCAATAGATAAGTCAGAAGCCCTGTAGAACAGCAATGAAAATGATAATATAGAATATAACTTAACTGCTATGATATATAATAGTAACAAAGACTATAAGACACATAGATGTAAATCTAAATCTTTATGTAGAAAATTATAGTTGACAAATATGAAAGACCTAAATGGAGAGATACACTGTGTTCATAAATACAAAGCCTCAGTATTATAAATGTGATCATCTCCCTAAGTTGATCTATTAATTGAATGCAATTCTTTTCAACTGAGGTCCCACAAAGGTTTTTGGGAACTTGACCAGCTGATCCTAAAATTTATACAAAAGAGTACAGGGCTCACAACAGCTGAGACAACTGAGTAAAAATAATGATGGTGCTCTGGTACTTACCCTATCAGACAGTAAATCTTATTAAAGAAAGATAGGGCTAGATATGGTGCTGGTCTAGAGTACACAGAGAGTTACAATTAATACGGAAACTTGATATATGACAGAGGTGACTAAAAGATGAACTTTCATTTTATTTTTATTTATTTATTTATTTATTTGACAGACAGAGATCACAAGTAGGCAGAGAGAGGCAGGCAGAGAGAGAGAGGAGGAAGCAGGCTCCCCGCCGAGCAGAGAGCCCGATGCAGGGCTCGATCCCAAGACCCTGGGATCATGACCTGAGCCGAAGGCAGAAGCTTTAACCCACTGAGCCACCCAGGCGCCCCCTATTTTATTTTACTTTTTTAAAGATTTACTTATTTGAGAGAGAAGAATGCGTGTGTGTGCACAGGGGCTGGGGGCAGGAGAGAGAATCTCAAGCAGACTCTGTGCTGAGCATGGAGCCCAATGTGGGGGCTCCACCTGAGGACCCTGAGACCACCACCTGAGCAGAAACCAAGAGTTAGACACTTAATGGACTATACCACGCAGGAGTCCCTTATTTTTTACTTATTATTTTTAAGATTTATTTATTTATTTTAGAGAGCGGGAGCACAAGTGAAGGGGGGGAAGGTAGTGGGAGAAGGGAGAAGGGAGGGAGAGAAAGTATCCCTAAGCAGATTCCCCCCTGAGTACGGAGCCCAAGGCAGGGCTTGATCCCAGGACCCTGACTGAGATCATGACCTAAGCCAAAACCAAGAGCTGACTGCTTAAATGACTGAGTCACCCAGGCGCCCCCTAGAAGATGAACTTTTAAATATAGTATAGTATGAAAATTGGGTATGAGTATTGAAAAATACAAAAATTAGATCTCTATCTCAAACTATATACAAAAATACACTGCCAATGGCTTAAAGATCTAAAAGTAAAAAACAAATCTAACATTCAGAAAACATATTGAAAATTTCTTAAGACACAGTAAGCACAAATCATGAAGAAAGTTAAATCAGAGTTAAGATAACCTTTTGTATGACAGGGGTGCCTGGGTGTCTCAGTTGTTGGGCGTCTGCCTTCGGCTCAGGTCATGATCCTACGGTCCCAAGATCGAGCCGCACATCGGGCTCCCTGCTTGGCGGGAAGCCTGCTTCTCCCTCTCCCACTCCCCCTGCTTGTGTTCCCTCTCTCGCTGTGCCTCTCTCTGTCAAATAAATAAAATCATTAATAACCGCCCCCCCAAACCCAAAAAACTTCTATGACAAAAAATCATAAAGTGAAAACACAAGCCATGGACAAGGAGAAGACAGCTGCAATCTATATAAATGTCAAGGAATTAGTATCCAGAATAAAGAACACCTCAAATCTTTAGGAAAAAGAAACATCACAATAGAAAAACTGGCAAAAGATATGAATATGCAATTCAGAGGAGGAGAAAACTAAATGTCCACTAAATACAGAAAGATCATGAACCTCTATAGTCATTAGAGAAATACAGATTAAAAACACATCAGAAACACTATTTCGAACCCATCAGATTGGCAATAGTCCAACAACATCAAGTTGCAAGTTTATGCCACACTGGTAAGAATATGGGCCAACAGGGATTCTTAAGTATTGTTGGTGGGAGACTAAACTGGTACAGGCACTTTACTGACCAAGTTGTAATACCTAAGTTATATCTGAAAATGTGAATTATTTCACATTCCAATAGTTCTACTCCTGGTGGTATGTCCTACAGAAGCCTTCACACATCTCACAAAAATATTTATTTCAGTATTATCTTGTAATAGTGAAAGTACAAAAAATTTAACTATATTTCAGTAAGGAAAAGGCTGTATCTATAATGTTTGATTTCCTTAAAAAGTCAAAACCAACAAATCTGACACAAATAAAACAAAATGTTGTAATTTGTTCGATCTCGTGGTAGGGGGACTTGGTCATACTTATACTTATCTATCTGAAATATTATATAATTTAAAAATTTTAAATTAAGTGTGAAACATAAAAGTACATAACAAGCATCACTGCCCTTAACATTTATAGCAGGTTAAAAATTACTTTAAGTATCCTTATCCAAATGATCTGAATTCACAAAAACATTAGTAATGGGGGCGCCTGGGTGGCTCAGTGGGTTAAAGCCTCTGCCTTCTGCTCAGGTCATGATCCCAGGGTTCTGGGATGGAGCCCTGCATCGGGCTCTCTGCTCAGCGGGGAGCCTGCTTCCTCCTCTCTCTCTCTGCCTGCCTCTCTACCTACTTGTGATCTCTGTCAAATAAATAAATAAAGTATTAAAAAAAATTAGTAATGATGTTTATAAATAATTCTCTGCAACCTATTACCTAGTAAGTCAAAGCTTTTACTTTAAAGAAAAAAAAAAGATTTATTTTAAGTATTCTCTATACCCAACGTGGGGCTCCAACTCACAACCCTGAGATCAAGAGTCAGCCAGGCATCACAAAGCGTTTTACTTCTTCTGTCCTGGAAATTATCCTATAAACTGCTTAACCCTGTGATGTTGATGCAAAATCAGAATCAAAATTGGAAAGTGAAAAAGCAACGGAATGGACTCCTTCCTGAATTTGCTGTAATCTCAATAGCTATTAAGTTTCATGTCATTAACTTTATGTACAACTACCACCAACAGAAAAATAAATGCTAAAAACATCCAGGACTCTGAGGAATAGAAAGGGAGATCTATAAAATCCTGAAGCTTACTTTGCCTTTCTGCCCAAGACCACCACATTCCCTTCTCCAGCTCTAGAGACTCCAGGTTAAGAACCTCTGTATCAGAATCTATCAAACGTTAGTAATCATAGCCAACATTTATAAAGGACCCACTGCTGAACACTATTCTAAGGACTTAATATTTACTAACTCAATTCATTCTCAAGAACAGTCTTTGAGGTCAATACTTAATCCTATTTTTCAGATAAGCAAATTGAGGCACATGAAAGGTAAGTAATTTGCCTAAAGTTAACAGCTAGTACATGGGGAAGCCAAGATTCAAATTCAGGCCGTTTGGTTCCAGAGAATACACTCTTAATCCAGAACCTTTGTTGACAATCAATGAGAAAATTTATCAGAAAAACTTAACCTGAAATTCACACATAAGCATTTTTAAAACAAGACTGAAAGAAAAAAGGATAGAACCAGGGTCTCCAAAGCATTTTTTTGGTCTCTTTTATTTCCTGCCGAACATTTAAAAGAATTATTCCTACTTTGGAAATGAGTTCCATTTTGCATTCTTCCTGCCTTTAAGATGAAAGTTTCTTTGTAATATAACAATCAGTGCACTCTTTCTTTTAACTTCTTTATTAAGTTTGTTGCATAAAAGATATACATTCTCATATTGACAATTCTTATCATGAACAAACGCAACAAAAAATAAAGGCAACAGCAAGATGTGCTTCACATATAAACAATCATGTGGTAAGAACAAGAAATCTGGCCCTGTACAACAAAAAGATTAGGAAGCAAAATGTGAATAATCCCTGTATTCAGAATATACCCAAATGTGTGTGCAAAGACAGTGCACCCATAATACAGCTCACTTAAATTTCTCTTTATGATGCATAATTCCCTAATGATCTATTTATGAAATAAGAATGAACATTAAGAAACATGAACTCCAAATTGCATTTATTTTCACAATATCAATGCTACACTCAAAATAGCAACTTCATTGAATCTAAATGTTAAATGTTTCCAAAGTAAAAGGCAAATCTTAATTTTTTTTTAACCCTATGAAAGGGTCTGCAAAAACAGGTGGCTTATTTTACTCCACTTGCAAGGAGACCATGTCTCAGCCTGCACTTAAGTAGGATGAGCAACGAAGGACAGCAAACAAATACCACTGAGAGTAATGCCCATACGTATGAAAATATCTAGCTGAACTATGTTCTTTCTACTTATACAGCCAAGTCTATTAAACAACCAGCATAATGCAAGCTTACGCCTCACGCGACAGAATCACTAAATTAACTATACATCTATTAGAAATTTCCAAATCCCGTTCCCCAAAACAGTTTTAGTACACCTATTAAGTACTGTAGGTCGCTTAGGAAAACAGAAATAAAACATACAACCAGTCTTTGCAATTAAAAATTTTTCATACCATATAAACAATGTTCAGATACAAATTCTGAACTAAATATGTTTTTCTAAATATGATTTATGTAATCAAGGCTTTCTTAAACAAAGACAGGTCTTAGGTATATGATCTGTACAAACTTACAGTAGTGTCTATTCCAAATAGAGATTTTCTTCCTATTATGATATGAAAATGTAACTCTTTTCTGAGTGAAGATATATGTTAAGGCTTAAGGTGTAAACACTTTGGAAGGCAAACAACTTAGTAAAGAAATAAACCAGTCATTTAAAAATGTGTATCATCTCATAATAGGCCCCTGAATTTTCAAATTTACATGTGAGAATACATTTACATCTTAACTTTCTAGGAAAGGCATAGACTTTATATAAAAAAGCAGCAAAATTTTAAACCCACCAATTTATTGAAAAAGCCATTACTTTTATTAGAAACAAATAATGCTTCTCAAGATGTTGGCAACTGGTCATAGTATAGACGTTTATTTCATACAGTGTACTTCTCCTTTTAATTACATTCCAGAAGGAGGTGGAATACCTCCTTGGCTGTGGGAAGTGGAAGTGATTGATGGACTGTGTAAACTGGTCTCTTTGTACACAAACCACGCATTTCCTCCCCAAAGTATCATATTCAGAAAGCCAAAGATCTAAGGAAGAGAAAAGTAAACATGAAAATCTATTATCTACTTAAAAATTTATACCCATCTTAGTTTTCCTTTAAATATTTAACATTTCCAGGCAGTATAGCCTTATTTCAATTAAAATGTAAACTAGATGTAAAGTAGAATTAAAAAAAAGAAGACTTTCCATTTCAATGCCAAATTTGTATAGATAATGACTATTCCCAATGAAATAAAGCTAACGTCTCTAAATCTGTAACATATAAAATTACGACTAAAAGAAAGCTTATCTTTGCATGCTCAACATTACCAAGAAGATGGGATTAAATTTGAGAAAAATAAGTAAAACCCTATTATTACTTTGCAATTAGACTTTAGTGCTTTCAGGTGAAGAGGAACAGGAATCCATGCTTCCTTCTTTGGGGGCTTTCACTTTTCTCCATCTGAATGGTTATAACCTGCCCCTGGGTATCTTTTCCTATATCCTTTCTTTCTCCCCTACTGCTTACTATCTCTCCTACTCCAACAGCTGCAGCCAGAAGAGAAAAGGAGTCACACAAGACCTTTACATCACATCCTACATTAGTCAACGTAAAAGGAATTAGTTTTCCCAGTTACAAAGCTGACAAGATAAAAGTCTCAGAGATGAATAAACTGAAGTTACCCTTTTTTTTGTATATTTTTTTTCTCCAAATATAAGAACAATAGTGACTTATATAATGTAAGACTGGAGTAAAGAGCTTGAGAGTAGTTTCATACTACTGAAGGCCAAATGCTTTATGTTTTTTGCATATTCACATACAGAAACATTTCTGAAACTGTCAATCTCAGATCACGGTCAATATAAATGCAAAAAAAGACTTTTAAATCACAAAGTGGTAACACAAAAATTTGACCAAATTGCTTTACAAGGTATGCTGACTTCATCCATGGAAAAACATTTTCTTGAAAAGATAGAGGACTTCCTTAAACATAATATATGCTGTATATTAAGAACATATTTAGTAATACATTTATCCGTATTTTGGCAAAACAGATGAAATATTATTTAAATTTATATATATCGATTTTTTAAAAATCACTTAAGAAACCATAAAAGTACTACTTTCATAGACCTAGAGCAGGTCAGACCAGAGAACCGGCTGAGAACCGGCAGAGAACTGGCTCGCCAACTTACCAGCTGTGTTACCTTCAGCAAATTCATACATGACCTACATTTTTTTCCCAGTTGGAAAATGAAGATAATAATCCTATCTCCCACATTCCTCTTTGGGTTACTGGATAAGTTAAACGAAATGAGTGTAATGTAATGCCCTTAGCACAAAGCCTGACACGTAGTCTTTATAGATGTTAGTGATGACTATTAGTGCCTTTCAGGTAAAAGTCTTGCCTAGTCAATTTTAATGAAAAGAAAGACTCAATCACGATCTTGTTCAAACCTGTTAACAAGTAATAATTTTCCTGAAAACTTTTCTCCACTGTTATAAAGGTAACAACAACTTTTCTCCACTGTTATAAAGGCTGGGGTTCTGATATCTTAGTAAACATGCAAACAATACATTCATCGAGAGATTGATTAAAATCTATTGCTTTCTTTTATCACTAGTAAGGTTTTTGGTTTTTCTAAGTGAAATAAAGCATCTTATAAATACCGCATACATACCACAGATACATTTAAGGATCCCATACTAGTCACAGAGCCAAAATAACATGTTACTTCTTGACGATGGCAAGGCTGAAGTTCCTTGACAATGCCATGACCAGTAGCTATTTTAATATCTGTAAGAGCTTTAGCCCAGGCTGAAGTGCTCACCAACCACAGAAAAGTGGCAACAAGAGTAACAACAAAGTCCTAAAGTAAAAATAAGTATGAGTTAATGATGAAGAGTTAATTTAAAAATACTATACTTCAAATCCATGATGGAACTGAGATCACAGTGAACTCTATGGTACTGAGAAATGGCCTACATGACATACTTTATAAAAAACGTCATAGTCAGCATTGGACACATCACTGTTTAGCATAACTAGCATACTGCCTGAGCAGTGAACAAAACTCAGTCATCTACTCAGCAGTCTAAGATTTTGACACTAGAACTCAGTTTCACGTAGCCCTTACCACAGCCTTGACTAAGCCACTCACTGCCAGGATCACACCTCACACCCTGTTATCACCAAGAACTCTATCCCCTCATAATCCCAGTTTCACCTCACCCACTTCCCAGTCTCATCTCTTGTTCCAGCGCATGCTCCTTTAGGCACCCCAACCTCAAAAATCCTTTGACTCTGCTGAGACTACAATCTGATTTTACCACTTTACTGTCTCTCAACCTCACTCATGCTCTCATTTCCCGTTTAATTTCTATTCTAAGGTCCTTCTTACAACCCCTTGCACAAACTCAACTCCCTCACCTTCTCCTGCTTTCTCATACTCTTCTGGCAAAACTCTAACTTCAGTTAAATCCAATTCCCCATGACTGGAAGGAATTCAAATAAAAAACTTAAAAAAAAAATCTTGCTGTCTATGATCTGGATAATGAAATGGTGAAAAGCATGCATCTAGGATGCCTTATTTCTTTTGAAATTCATGACCCTAAAATTTTAAGAATACTCATTATATTAAGGACAAAAAAATTAATAATCTCTCAAGGCATCTTCTCACTAGTAATTTCCTCCTAAAGTCTTTGCTATTTACTACATTTCCAAGAACAGGACTAAAGTTTTAAATATTCTGGACAATTTCTTATTGAATAAGATGAAGAAAGAAAAAACGTATTCTCTTTACTCAATCTATTCTGCTGGGGAACTAAAATTTTGTTGACTAGCATTGGTTACAAAAATCTAAAGACTTTTTAAATAATGCATTTGTATAATATAATATTTCCATTAAATTAACCACCAAAGTGGGAATAATGTAAAATTTCTATCTTTTAATGTTACATATTCTTAGCATTCAGGTACACTCAGAGCTACGAGTTCTTACACATCTGCAGCAAAAATCTCTGCAAGCTCAGAAATGGGTTTTGGAGCTTATCAGAAAAGTGGTTCCCTACCCCCATCCCAAATAAATCTAATTGGTTTTTAATTACTTTTTCCAGCCAGCTTTTAGTCATTTATTGAGACTAAACACGAGTAACCACTTATGACATACAGAAACTCTACTATATATAGCTTGTCCACCAGGTCAAGATGGCAATGAATAAATGGCTTGTGATCAGAGAACCAAAACAATGACTCATTTTACAAGAAGGAGGTATTTGCATTTTGCATTTGAGCTTTCCACTGCTCCTGATCCTCTTTTAAAAAAATGTAGATCAAAGAAAAAAGGACAGAAATGCGGCTTCCATGTTTTGCACTGTGGGAGTACTCTCCTTTTCACTTCTGCACTCAGCTGTACTTTCGCTGCAGGTAGGTATTTTCTAGAAACAAAAATTGTGCTGGAAACACAATGCCTTTAGGAGAACTGATAAATAGTATAGCATTATCACACCTTAAACAAGTTCCCTCTGGGCTGAAGTTCATAGCTTTGGCCCATATATGTCAAGTCCTTTTAATTTCCAGGTTTCTTTCTTCAAACTTCCTAATTAAAAAATACTCTGATATTTCTGATAATGCTCTTTAAACCTTCTTTGCTGCGGGACGGCTGGGTGGCTCAGTTGGTTAAGGGACTGCCTTCGGCTCAGGTCATGATCCCAGCGTCCTGGGATTGAGTCCCACATCGGACTCCTTGCTCAGCGGGGAGCCTGCTTCTCCCTCTGCCACTCTGTCTGCCTGTGCACTCGCGCTCTCTCTCTCTCTCTCTCTGACAAATAAATAAACAAAATCTTTAAAATAAAATAAATAAATAAAAATAAAAAAAACAAAAAACCTTCTTTGCTGCTCGCATGACATTCTTATACTTCAAAAGCAGGGGAACTTTTCTGAAAATGATGCACACAGTCACCTTAGGGTGAGGGAGAGGTGGGAGAAATGAGGGCCTCTGAAGATCATCTCTGTTCTACTCAGGACTCTCTTTTTAGGATGCGGCCCACCCACAGTTCTGCAATGCATCAACGGTAGCTGCCTTGGTCCCACCAACGAGGTGGGATAGGATTCATGACAGGTGTTTAGGATTTGGGATACTTTATCTTTGTTTGGTTTCAGGTTTTTGGATATTTCTGATTCTCCACATGGCCTAGCACCCTTAAGTTCCTGCTATTTAAAACCAAAAAAATGCTATATTTACTTAAAAAGGGAAGTTAAAATGCCACAATTGAAATGCTCCTAGAAATACCTTAGTAGAGAATTGAGAACATTGCGAAAAAGGCATGTCCTCATTAACAAAGTGTACTTTAAAAAAAACAATGTCCTATTTGGCTATATTTTAAATTTGGATTTCTCAAGAAAACTTGTTTTACATTTATATGGTTAAATTCAAAGTAGAATTCAAAATTTAATTTAGAAGCTTGAATTTTTACAGACAAGCATCCTTTATATACTGTATCAACAACAACAAAAAACACTTAAAAGGGCTAGTTCTGGATTATTTATAACCACTAACTGATCACTCCAAGATGGAAAATTTCTTTTGATTTTCTGAATGATGCACCTAGATCAGTTTTATAGTTTTAATAGAAAAACCCTTTACAAAAATAGATTTAGGTGCTGCCTTAGAAAGTGTGATTTTAAAAGCTCACTAAACAAAATATGAAAAATAACAGGCTCATTCTAGAGTTAACTTGAGAGTTTCTTGGGATAATGATAAAATGGCAAGAACTGTCTTCATTTAGTATTTAAATTATAAAGAATTTTAACAGGAGATAGTATCTATATGATAATCATAATTCCTTTTTTTTTTTTCCCTTCCCAAAGTAGGCTCCACAGGGGGCTTGAATACCCCTCCAGTGCAGGATGTGAACTCAGGACCCTGAGATCAAGAACTGAATTGAGATCAAGAGTTGGATGCTGAGTTGGATCAGCATTAGAGTTGGATCAAGAGTTAGCTGACTGAGCCACCCAGGTGCTCCACAGTTCCACCCCCCCCAACCTTTTAAAAAGATTTTATTTACTTGATAGAGAGAGAGGGAGAATGCCCAAATGGTGCAAAGGGGCAGAGGGAGAGGGAGAAGCAGACTCCTTGCTAAGTGGGGAGCCCGAGATGGGACTCGATTCCAGGACCCTGAGATCATCATGACCCAAGCTGAAGGCTGAGGCTTAACTGACTGGGCCACCCAGGTGTCCCTCTACCTTTCCTTTTTAAGTAAGTCTTGGAAAGTCTACAGAAGTTACAGATTCCTCATATGTAATTTCTGTTGGTTAAGCACTGCAAATTAAAATAGTTGATGCCCATCTTTTTGAAAGACATCCAAGAAAATATTTTATTAAAATGTCAGGTTTAAGAATCTTTTCTCAGATACAAGAAACAAATAAGAATTTTAGCAGACTGTTTTATTCCTTACTTACCATTTGTATCCTTATGATCCAGGCAGCAAAAATTAAAAATAAATAAGAAATAAAACCCGTTATCTTATTTAATAAATTTTTCATACCCAACTAGCCTTCCCTTTAAAGTAACTTCACAAATAATCAGGAGATGATAGAGTTTTCTCAAGATATAAATGGTATCTCAAAAGCACCCCTGTTCTCCCTTCAAGTCAATAACACTTGATACTGACTTTGTAGTTATTCTATTGTTATGGACTTCTAGCTTAAAAGAACGGCTTATGTGTATTTGCACCAATAATCCAGAGAAGATTCTACTACTTAAATCTCGGAGATTATTTTTATTTCTAGCTCAGAAGACCCTGAAGCCAAGAAAGATGTTAGAGGACTTCAAATCCGAATCCTTTGTTTCCATCTCCAAGATTCGAAATTAGCTCATGAACATCACTAGTGAGCATTCTCTAATTCTTATAGAATTATCTGAGTCAGATTTTAAATTAAGGAATTTAGGGATATAGATCAGGAGTCAGCAAACATTTCCTGAAATGGGCCAGACAGTAAATACATTTGGTCTCTCTCACAACTACTTATCTCTGCCACTGTATTATGAAAGCAGTTATAGACAGCATGGAAATGTTTAGGTATGGCTGTGTTATAAGACAAAAAAACAACTTCATTAACTAAAAAAAAAATAAAATAAAACCCACAATGAATCAGATTTGGCTGTGGGCCAGTTTGCTGATTTCCGATGTTGACTATTAAGCTCAATAAAACATTGCATAGACATAAAGGAGGTCTTTGAGAAAAGAGAAAAAAGTAGAACACCATCATGAGACTACTACTATGATCAGCAATTCCTCAAATTAAAGGCATTAATTTCCACTTAATTTCTCTACCTGCAACCTAATATACTCTGTATATTTGAGATCTTTCCAGTTTAAAGTGAGACTGAGAAACAAACAGACCTCTGTATGCCCTAGAGTACAGAGAAGGTGTTGCAAACTGGTGCAAAGAATCAGGCGCAACGTGACAACCAGAGAAAGCTCAACCTCATGGTAAACACAGATCAAAACACGTTTACCTGGTTTATGTCACAAATTTTCATTTCCAGCGTAAGAAAATCTATATCAACTCCAAATATAACTTATATACAACTTTTGTATAAAAAGAAAGTGTTTACTTACAATCATGGGAAGTTTTCGACTATCCCGATACATGCTCGTATAACCGAGATAGAGCAGAAGAGCGGCAATGCAGTATAGGAAGACAAAGACTGCAAACGTCACATAGAATTGTGTGGAGGAAGAGTAATCTCCGATAAGCACATAACTTTTCCAATTTACATCACACACGTTTGCATCTGGATGTGCCTGAAATGATGCTTCATTCAACCTATTAAGAAAAGGCTCAAATAAATTTGTGAATGACTTGGGACTAGAATACTGAAACGACATTTCAAAAAACACTCCCAAAATATATTACAGACATTTTCCTTTGGGGAGAAAAAGGAGAAAATTCAAATATTTAAATTAAAAATTTCCTAAGAAATGTACATAAACTATGCCTTATAATTGGTTTATGATAAACAGACTATAGATGCCATTAAACACTTTCACACCCAGAAACTATCTTTCTGCAATAAGAATTTAGCAGATTAAGAGAGCTGATACAAAACAGTCTGCAATTTGAGACATGATATTCTGTTCTAGGAGGCAGAGTCTATGTGACTAGCACCAGGAGAGTCAATTATGATTCACATTTTAACCCTAGATTAATTAGCCGCTAACTTGAGATTGTTTTCAAATTTCCTTATCTATAAACTGCAAAAACACTTATCACTAAATGTGCCATAATAGTTCCTCATAGAGGAACTTTTTAAGTGAAGGGCTGGGAAATGGAATGGCAATGATTCATTACCAGGCCCTTGCTATCTGACGTATTTTTACTTTAAGGGTTTATTTAATCATCAAAACAACCTTAAAAGGTAAAAGTTCTGGGGCGCCTGGGTGGTTCAGTGGGTTAAAGCCTCTGCCTTCAGCTCAGATCATGATCCCAGGGTCCTGGGATTGAGCCCCGCTTCGGGCTCTCTGCTCAGCGGCGAGCCTGCTTCCCCCTCTTTCTCTCTGCCTGCCTCTCTGCCTACTTGTGATCTCTGTCAAATAAATAAATAAAATCTTAAAAAAAAAAAAAAAAGGTAAAAGTTCTCACTCAATGGCTAGAGATTTCGAGTCCTAGAGAGGTCAGGTAAGTAGTACATGGAAGAAGATTTACACCACGGCTTAAACACAGGACATATTCAATAAGCTTTTCAATAAACACTTAAGTTAAACAGAAGAATTCACAAAATACTCATTTTTGTCTGAATAAGAAAATAAAGAAACACAAACTCCTTGCTTTAAATACATGTCTTAAAATTATATAAAGAATACTTATTTTTTTAGTAATTGCAAATACATGAGAAATTTAAATTTTCTTAAGCTGTGATTGCTTCCACACCATGGCTTCTCATGCTAAGGTGATGGAGCAGTCACTATTTGTTTTTAAATTTTCAATTCACTGTGGGATGACAGAATAAAAATGTCAAGGCAAGGTCAGAGAAAAGTTTCTAAATGCTTCCTCTTGTTTTCCATACTTAATTCCTCATAGGCCAGGGACACAGTCTGCAGACAGACACTGGTCCACATGCCACATTTTGAAGAGCAATGATCACCACTTACAAATGAGCATATGTGCAATTTAAAATTTTCTCCCCCCACACAAACTGCTGGAAATCTCAAAAAGTCAATATGAAAGTAAAAATTTTCAACTATAAAAGCAAACAAATATCTTACCTGAATGGATAACCAAAAGCAGCTGTAATCGTTTTATTTTCATGAAGTTTAGTGCAAGTCACTTGAATTTCTGTTTTGCCCTTAAAACCTCCACAGGTGGCAAAAGCAAAGATAGAAGCAATCTATACAAAGTAAGACCAAAAAGGGGGGGAAGAAGCATTATTGTACCCAAAACATGGGTCACTGAAACCTAAATATAGTACTAAAAACAGGCTCACTAACGTTCTAGGAATTCTTAATTACAAATTAAATGCAGATGCTGAAAAACACTTAAAATCTCACTTCCAACTGTCAACAAATGATTTTCTTTTCCCCTGAGTATAATACAGAAGCTAGTATAACAGCCCATATAATAATTCTTCTATTCATACTGCAGTGTACCTACTAAAATATTAGCATGAAATTCACATGAAGTATTATGAGTATCAAAATCAAAAGGGGGTGATTCGTAACTATTTTTAATGGTAACTGTTTAAGCCAAGAGACTCCTAAGCAAAGAGGAGACGCTATTTCACGAGTTTGTACAATTTCACATTTGAGTATTTCAGTATTTCCAGGTCTCAAAAAGTACTTGGAAATTTGTTCTCCTGATCATGCATATACTTAAAAGAATGCAATGTTCTTGTAAATGCTATACATAACAGGAAAAAACTGGAAGCTTCCTAAATGTTGATATGAAATAAAATAAAATGTAATTCATTCATAGGATGGAACATTATGCAGTCTTTAAAAAGTTGGCAAATATTTAATGATACTGAAAAACATTCATTACAAATAAAGTTTGTTTATGGGGTGCCTGGCTGGCTCAGTTGGTAGACCATGCAACTCTTGATCTCAGGGTTGTGAATTCGAGCCCCACACTGGGGGTAGAGCTTAATTTTAAAAAGTTTATTTACACATGCATTGTGCATTGTGTCTATGCCTAGGCATATGATGCACACTGCAAAAATATATCAAAATTTCAACAGTGGTCACCTCTCAACAGAAAATAAAAATAATTTCTTTTTCTACTTGAATCTTCTAAATTTTCTACAAAACAAAACAAAACAAAAAAGCCTATATACAGTGTAGTGGCCAAAAGCTCAATCATTCAGCAAATTCTGACGGTGCTATTTAAAAAACATATTTGGAATCTGATCAACATCATCGCAACATCCTGATGTAAACCACCATTATTACCTCTTGCCTGAATTACATTCCAACAGCCTTCTAAATAATCCCGCTTCTGTCCTTGTCCCTCCTTCAGTCTACTGTCACTATATCAACCAAGGTAATCTTTTAAAAATACAAGGCAGAAAACTTTACATCCTCTGCTCAAAATTCTCTAACGGTTTCTGAGTTCTCTCTGGATAAAAATCAAAGTTCATATAATGGTTTACCAGATCCTTTCTTCCCTTAATAATTCTGATCAGACTGCTACTTCTCCCCTTGTCAAATTTCTCTATATAAAAGGGTCTCCTGGGCGCCTGGGTGGCCAAATAAATAAATAAAATCTTAAAAAAAAAAAAAAAAAAAGTAAAATGGTCTCCTTAGAGCGCCTGGGTGGCTCAGTGGGTTAAAGCCTCTGCCTTCAGCTCAGGTCATGATCCCAGGGTCCTGGGATCGAGCCCCACATCGGGCTCTCTGCTCAGTGGCAAGCCTGCTTCCACCTCTCTCTCTGCCTGCTTCTCTGCCTACTTGTGATCTCTGCCTGTCAAATAAATAAATAAAATCTTAAAAATAAAAAAAAAGGGTCTCCTTGCTATTCCTTAAATATAAGGGGTAAACTTCTCCTACAGAGCCTTTGCACTGGCTACTCTTTCTGCCTGGAATATTTCCTACTTCATAGCTTCCTGTTCCAAAAGAACTTTATCAGAGAGGTCTTTCCTAAACACACTATATTAAGTAATAATGCCCTAACCCCACAGTATTTACTTCCTTAATTCATGCTGCTTTATTTTTCCGCCACTGTAATTACCACTGCCTATTAGTACTCAAGTATTTGTCCGTTTTTCACTAGAACACAAACTCAACAGCAGGGACTTTGTTTTGCTCAGGGTCACATTCATCTAGCAAACAGATAAAATTCAGCGCAGGTCTGATTCCAAAGCCTATACTGTTAAACACTGATATAATGCCTCTCACGGATTAATACAGGGCCTTGAATCAGGCCATAACCAGGATCACAACTATCAAGATTTTTTTTTCTGTAAAGCAGAGATAAATGAAAAGGAGTCTGGTTACAGATATGAAGAGTCTGAGGTAATGTCCAGTACACAGTTTGGAATCTTCAGTTAAGCGTTCATAGGTAAAGACAGAAGAATGGATACTCTCTACACATAAATGTTCATGTATAAGGAATGAAAACAGAGGCCACAAAATTGGGCATATACCCATTTAGGATTAGAAAACAGAAACAGGTTATACAAATTTAACCAACGGGACAAGAAGGAGGCCAGAAAGAGACCTATGTGTAACTAGATAAATTCTAACAAAGCTGGCACTGCAGATCACCAAGGAAAGGAGTTTGGTGGTTTTAAAGAGATGTCCACAAACTCTGATACTCCTCCCTGCAAGAGGCAAAGATTAATTTTCCTCCCTTTAAGTCTGGATGGCTTCTAGTAAATTGAATATGGTCTAAGGAATGGGAGACATCCATCCTTTCCAAGACTATGTGATAAAGGGACTACAATTTGTCTTCCTTTCTCTTCTGAAATCACTGGCTCTGGGGGAAGCCAGCTGCCATGCTGGGAGGATACTTAGGCAACTTACAGTGAGATTCTTGTGATGAGGAACCACAGACTATCAGCAACCATGTGAGTGAGCCTGCAAGTGTATCATCCCAGGCTTGCCAAAGGCCATGTGAGTGAGCTGGGTGCTAGAGATGACTCAAGCCCCGCCAACAGCTAGACTGCAAACAGGGAGACTCTGGGCTGAAACCCCTCAGGCTAAAGCGCTCCCAGATTCCTGACCCACTGTCTTAAGAGCTGAGGTTGAGGTAATTTATTATGTAGCAATAGATAACTAATATGAAGAAGGACTTCAATAAATGGTCCAGGGGCGCCAGGGTGCCTCTGTTGGTTAAGTAGCTTCCGCTCAGGTCATGAGGTCCTGGGATCAAGCCCCATGCTGAGCTCCCTGCTCCGCAGGGAGCCCGCTTCTCCCTCTCCCCTCTGCTCCTGCTCTTTCTCTAATAAACAAAACACAATGGGCGGTGGGGGGGGGGGAGGTCCAGATGGGCTAAAGACAAATGCAAAATGCGAGTCCTTAAAAAACTTTAATGTAAAAGAAAATTTGTGACCACAGAGAAAGGAAAAATTTCTTATGATTAAAAATAAAAACACATACTAACCATAAAAGATGGTTAAATTCAACCACAAAAAAAGAACTTCAGAAACCAAGTCAGCTTTTGAACATAAAACAAGCTACAAACCAGGTCAAAGTATTTGCATAAAGTCACGAAGGATCAGTATCTACTAGTATATAGATCTGAGAGCAATTCTCACCCATGTGTACTATAGAACATGCACAAGAATGTTCACAGTGACATGGTTTATAGTATCAAAATAGAGAAGTGGAGCAAAAGGAAAATGGACAAAACATAATAGTATACACTTACAATGGGAAGTTTTAAAGCAATAAAGATACAGGAACTACAGCTGCCCACATCAATGTGGATGAAACCTAGAAACCTAATGCTGAGTGGGAAAAAAAAAAGTTGCTTACGTTTCATACAGTATGATGCCATTCTTTAAAAAGCTTTGGTTACTTAACTACACCACCCATGCCACTACACTATTTTTGTTTAGGCCCTCACCATTTTTCACAGGGACTAACCAACAGACTCTTCCTCTCATTTCTAATCTCTTCCGTAGCATGGGCTCATGTGGCTGTAGAACATTTTAAAAATGGATTGTCTTATGGCACCTGGGTAGCTCAGTTCTTTAAGCATCCGACTCTTGATTTTGGCTCAGGTCATGATCTCAGGGTCGTGAGACCGAGCCCTGTGTAGGGTTCTGTGTTCAGCAGGGAATTTGCCTGGGATTCTCCCTCCACCTCTGCAAACCACAAACCTCCCCATGCTCCTTCTCCCTCTCTAAAATAAAATAAATAAATCTTTCAAAAAATAAAAATCGCTTGCCTGAATTAAGATACCTATAAGTGTTAAGTAGACAATGAATTACAAAGATTTAGTATACAAAATGTAAAATATCTCATTGATAACTGTTTATATTGACTACCTGTTAAAACAGTATTTGGATTTATAAATAAAATATAATATTAAAGTTAATTTCACCTGTTTCTTCTCATGTTTTCAGTGTGGCCAGCACACTTAAAATTATTATGTGGCTTGCATTTGTAGTTTGCATTCTGTTTCTATTGAACAGGTGCTTTAGAGTGATGTCACACTGATCTGAAATGAAGATCTGGTCACATTACTCCCCTGTTTAAAAGGATTTCCTCAGTGACTTTCCAGAACTAAATTTAAGAAAAGAAAAAAAGCTCAAACTTCTTCATTTGGCCCAACAGGCATAGCTTAGGTACCCTCAACCTTATCCTTCCAGATTTATACGCACTATACACCCAGCCAGGTACCGTACAACTCTGTCGCACTGTACTACTACTTACTACTGCCCCTCAAACACATCCTGTATTTACAGTGTATTTATTTCTTCTGCCAGGATTTGTCCCCCCCCCCCCCCCCCTCAACTGTTCTCTGACAAGCTTACCTTAAAGGCCCTACCCAGTTTCTTACGGTAGAACTATTCTGTCTCCTGGGCTGCCACAGACTTGGGTTCATTAACTCCACTATAGGCATTTTTCTTCTGTCTTGCCTTATTTAAAAAAACAAACAAAAACAAAACCCAAAGTAAAAATAAAAACTAGTTTCTAACTAAATACAAAAATTAGTAGGGGCACCTGGGTGGCTCCGTGGGTTAAGCCTCTGCCTTTAGCTCAGGTCATGTTCTCAGGGTCCTGGGATCGAGCGCTGCATCGGGCTCCCTGCTTGGCAGGGAGCCTGCTCCCCCCCCCCACCTCCGCCCCCCGCCTACCTGCCTCTCTGCCCACTTGTGATCTCTCTCTCTGTCAAATAAATGAATAAAATCTTTAAAAAAAGTTAGTAAATAAATGGCATACTGTA